TTTATTTCAGAGCCCTTCAAAGGGCACAAAACCCAGGAGAAAAAACTTCTCAGACAGATAAATGTACTTGCTCATAGACTTGGACACAGGAACCCCATGTAAAAAGCTTCAGGAGATTAATAATGTGGGTGGAAAATTAAGGCACCTCATAAAAGGTTTGAAGTAACAAGGGAACAGATCACATCAACTCAGAAAGGTTAAAGAAAGCAATTTATAGACACTAATTAGGGCCTCTTTTTAAAGTGCCTTTGCAAATGACAAGGTTGGGTTTATTCCAGAAAGGTGCAAAGGGAGTGCGGTTGGAGCTGCCTCGGGATGCTCTCGAAAGTGTGGGTGAACCATGCCCAGCATCCCTACTCATGTATGGGAGATTTGAGGGTCAGCACAAAGGGAAATGTGAGGAATGTGTTTATATGAACAAGCTGTGCAACACTTATTCCCTCCCCAGGGAAATCTCCCCCATGCTGGTGCAGCACCCAGCGAGCCCCAGGCTTGTGCCTGCTGCTCTGCCAACTCGAATTGTTTTGCTGGATGCCAAGCCCAAGGTCAGCAAACCTGAGTTCTCCTTCTCTTTCTGGCTCACCAGCCGCAAGGATCTGCATGGTTAAACTTCTGCAGAAGCGCTGGTTTATGCAACACTCTGGCTCTGACAAAGTTTTGCTTGCAGGATGAAGTGCCAGGAGGTGGGAGCTGAAGGACTCTGCAGCGATGCTTCCCGGAGCCGTGGCTGGGGGGGCAGTGGGTGCCCGTGGGAGGCAGCTCTCATGTGAGAGCAGGAGAAACCAGGGCACCTCCAGCACTGCTGGAAGGTGAATCGACCCCTGGGGGTCTTTATTTCTCTGTTGGCTCACGGAAGGGAACCCAGCTCACCCCCCAGCTAGCACGAACATCTCCAGCTTCTGTCATTCAAGCAGGAGCTCCCCCTGCAAACAGCCCAGGTGAGCGAAGAGACTACCAGACAGCAAATGCCACATGTCTGTACAAGCAGCCACTTTACCCACCTCTGGGATCTGGGTTTTTTTCAATTTACAGAACACCAGCTCCTCTCCCCATGCTCTGAGGCTGCTCTTAGAAGAGCTCAGTGATGTAGAAAGACCTGGACACGACAGCCCTGCAGCACCCGGGGCTGTTTCCAGGGATGAGGTGCTGCCCTGGGAATGGCAGGACCAGCCTCCCCTCCACAGTTTCAATCCATCTCACAGGACAGTCTCAGCGGGTCACAGCCTTCAGCAATTTCTTCTCTTTCTCCTCACAATTGTCTGCAATCAGTACAGTAGCTCGTAAAGCACTGCTTTATTGCATTATAAAACAACTCCTTCACAGCCTTTGGAACAACACAGTGGCTGCATCCAGAGCTGTGCTCCCTGTAAGCTCCATGAGGGCTGTGTGTCCTTCCTTCTGCACTGACTCCCTGCAACCAGGTCCAGTCTAGCAACTGGGAGTGCTCTGCTCTCATCTCAGAGCTCATCCATGAACTGTCTGTAGCTATTTCAGCTTTCCAAACTGAATGTCCCAGCCAGCACACTGCAGCCCAGGGACACTGCTGCCCTCGGTCTGGGGTCACTGCCCATCACCTTCTCCTTCCCAGCACAACTGTCCACTCACATCTGCCACCAGCGTGTTTGCGGTGTGCTCCCTACCCTGGTTCTGTCACCAGAGATCCAAAGGAGCTTTTAATAGCAGCTTGTTTGTAAAATCTGGGATATTTTGACAGATCTGTTGCAGAAGATGCAAGGAACAAGCAGACAGGAGCCATCACCCCTTCACAGCTCCTGCCCACACCGGGACTGATGCTCCCCAGGAGCCTTTGCCTTGAGTCCTGCTTCACCACCATGCTGAGACCATAGAACCACAGAATCATTTAGGTTGGAAAAACCCTGTAGGATGTTCTCCCAGCACTGCCAAGTCCACTACTAAATCATGTCCCCAAGTACCACACCTACACGTCTTTTAAATCCCTCCATAGTTGGTGACTCCACCACTGCCCTGGGCAGCCTGTGCCAGGGCTTGACAACTCCTTCAGTGAAGAAATTTCTCATAATATCCAACCTAAACATCCCCTGGCGCAGCTTGAGGCCATTTCCTCTTGCCCTATTGCTTGTTACCTGGGAGATACAGAGATTCTGCAACATGCCCAGTCACCTGTGGATGAACCTGCATTTCTTACATGGAAACAAGTCCTCTTCTCTGAGACTGTCACATCTGCAGAGCCAGAGGGGCCAGAGGCTAGGTGACCATCCCAGTGGCATCATCAGTGGCAGAAGGACATTGGGATGAGGGAAGGTGCTGCAGATACACGAGTGCACAGGAATTCTGTGAATTACATCTGGGCAAAAGGCAGGCAAAGGGCAGCGAAGGCAGCATGTCCAGGTCCTCAGGGACATGGGGCTGCTCCCTGAAGAGCAGGGCAGATCTCACTGCACAGCACCTACTACCATCCCCTCTCTCACTTCAGGAGAATGAGAAAAATCAACAGAAAAGTATGAAAAAGTCACAAGGAATGGAGATGGCACAGCCACCCAGAGGCAGCTCGGAGGTGACACGTGCCAGCTGCGCCCCCAGCTCCAACCTTCCTCACACTGACTTCTCAACTCCTTAATCATTTATATTTCACCTCCCCCTCCACTTCCCACGTGGAAACAAAAGATGATTCACACATCAAAATAATCACCTGGGACCTCCAAAAGCCCACGAATTCCCTCACTTTGGCCTAGGGCACTTGAAAAGGAATTTTCCTAGTTTGGCATCTGGATTCAACAGTTTGTTCCTTCCTTTTATACTTGTCTCACAGCACAGAGGGGGCAGAGCAGGGACAGAACCTGCCCACAGACTGTTTGTAGGACTGCAATTGACCACTAAACAAATGGAATGCAAACTTGAGGCATCTGAAAAATCCAGCTACCCAGGGGAAGCATCTGTGGCCTGGAAATACTGCCCTGCCCTCTTCAGTGGGTGGGGAGTTTGATTTTCCATCAGCAGGGAAGTGTCTTTATCACATTTGCTCTTTATCACCAGCAGCACATTGGAAAGAGCAACTGCTGCTGCAAGTCTGCTACCTGGGCTTGCCTATGGAAAGAGGTCAGCACAGTTATTGTACCAGAAGAGACCTGCAGCGATGAATTTTCCCTCACAGGGGGAACAGAGTGAAGCTGGGGCCTGAAAGCTCAACTTCTGCAGACCCAACAGCAAAGTATCCATGACCACTTATGGTGCAAAACCATCATCCACAGGAGCTCTGGCACCAGAACATTAATGTCACTGCCTGAAGGCACACCAGTCCTGCCTACTCACTGCCTCACCAAGCACAACCATCCTTCACCAGGGCTGTGATCACAAACACCTCCTCCGTTTGTGTTTCTCTCACAAAATGAGAAGGTTTTTGTAGGACAGACAGTGAAGGAGCTATCCTCCTTGCAAACTGCCCAGATCCAAAGCTTCAAAAAAAGCAGAACTACAAGGCTGGACCTCTTGCAGACCTCTCACACCTTCCAACCCAAGCGCTGAGCAGAGGCACCAGTGCCACACTAAGAAGAGGCTGATGAAACTCTTATTATCCACCTCGATGCTGTGACCTGTCACTGAGAAGTGAACAGCTGGGGATGAAACCCAAAGCCATACCCTGCCAAGTACCTGCCAGCACAGGCAGAGGTGATACAAGTCATAAACCTGTCCTCTCAGGCAATGCCAACAGACACAACTTCACAGTAGGCTCCAGTTGGCTTCACCGTTGGGGCTCTCCTAGAAGACTACAATGGCTCCGAGTGAGAAACACGGATTCACTGCAGCAAAGAGTTGAAAGCTACTGTTAAACCTTGAAAGCAAGGAACAAATAAAAGCCTGCAGTTTCCAAGGCATTGTCCCAGGTCTGCTCTCCCAGAGAGAGGCTACAAATGCACACAGCACCACAGACACAGCAGGGCTTGGCAAAGGCTGTGACACGCCACCCAGGCAGGCACCACTGTCCATGCTCCATTTCCAGACAGGTACAAAACACTCATGCAAAGATAAGTTACAGTGCACAAAAGGCCTGCTCAGAAACAGGGTCATGACTTTGGGGAGATTCTTCACCAGACAAGGTGAGGTCCTTGCCTTCCACACACACAGCAGGCAAGGACACACTGCTTCTTGCAGAAGATGCTGGAAATCAGAGCAACAGTCACCAGCAGAAATGCTCAGCTGGCCAGGTTTCCTAAGCATCCCTTTTGCCTCTGCCATGCCAAGGGATCAGGAAGATCACACCAATTTCACTACCTTGCAGAGCAGCAACCCCAAAGGCTGCACTAACTCTCCTCCAAGAAATTATTTTACTCCTTTGCAGAGAAGTACTCTCCAGAGCTCACAGGATTTCCCCCATGCTGTGCTGAGGCTAATGGTTATTGACTTTTAGCCATATTTTTCCTCCTCCCTTCAGATTTTGAAGCACAAGCAAACCACTTTGATCCACTTTGAAATGGGGTAATTAAACAAGTTTCTGAACAATTTGCAGTCCTGCTCTGTAGGAAGCACTAAGCAAAGCCATACCACAGTATTTGGAGGAAAAAAAAATCATACATCCATGGAGCTCTCAATCCATGCCCTCGAGCAGAGAAGCTGAGGAGATTTACAGTGACATGTAAATCCCTGCGACAGACTTCTATAAAACCACTGAGAGGCACACCCAGAAGGCAAAGAAGTGTTTCACACCTTCTGTAAGTAGGAAGTGTGAAAAGGAAAGAGATGAAAACTGCCTTCCTTTCCCCAAATCTCAGTCATAACTCTTGCCCTATCCTGGCATTTCTCTGCCCACTCCTGATGTCAGTCGAGGTAATGCTGGTGTCACACAGTGCTTTGAGGACCCCACAGCTATACCAGAGATGGCAACACTTTGGAGACCAACACCACGTCGAGGGCAATCCAGCCCATGCATGACAGCACAGATGCTTCTGCACACCTCAGAGGACCTCACACCACATGGACCTCACATAGAGCCAGACATAGAAACTGCCAGACAAGTGCTGTACCTTCCTCCACGTCGTTCCTCAGAGAAGCCTCCAGCAGAGCAACACTGGCTTCAAAAGACACCTTCTTTCGGTTCACAGCAGTTCTCTTCTTCTCATGCTTCCGCTTCTTGTGCTGCATCTCCTTCTCATACTGAGCCCATTTCTTCAGCTGCTGAGCCCTCCTCTTCTGGGCTGCCCGCAGCCTCTCCAGCGTGGGCACCTTATCCAGCAGCTGCAGCTCTGTCAGGAGGTCCACGTGGGCATCCATGGCTTCTGCCGAGAGAGAGGAGGGGAAGGATGTCCCAGTGGGAAACGATGTCCCACCGCAGGTCCTCTGGATCACAGCCCCTGCTGCTATGACAGCATCCTGAGGGTGAGCTGGGGAGGGCCCATCGCAGTGTCCCGTGAGAAGGTGGTGGAAACCTGAAAAAAGGAGGAAAGCATGAGGGATCAAATCTCATCATTCCATGCAGACAAGCAACTAAGATCAGCTTATTGGAAAGCACAACAGACAACACCTCCCACCTCGAAAGGCAGCTCAGTTAATTGTGCTTCAATTACTTGACTGTTTCCACCAGCCTTTGTGATTCCCAACTCCAAACACCCAAGCAAAACCCTCTCGATTAAGCAGCAGCTCTAGTGTGCAATCCGCTCATGCCTATCGTTCACATTCACTCTCTCTTACAAGCAGAATAGATTCTTAATGAGCAAAGATCTTCCACACACTCCATAGCATTTGTCAGACACCTGAGAAGAAATTCAACCACCAAGAGACATCCTTTCTTCCAGCTAGTCCAGCATAGCTGTCACCCCTCATTACAGGTGTCTCCACACCATAGCCAGGACTGTGCTGCACTGATGCACATCAGCAGTCACCTCCCTGAAACACTTTGGTCTGAGCAGCAAAACACAGCTCAGAGGAGACCAAGGCTGTAAGGACACAGCCCAGGGCAGTCACAGACACCAGATGAGGCTAATGCAGAACAAACAACCCTGAAGCCAATGGCTGGAGATACATGGGACTCCCAAGACCAACCAGGCAGCTTTTCCCAGAGGAGAAATGGAATGCCCACCAGGAGCATCATCTGCACTCTTCTACTTCATCCATCAGCTCCTTCTCAGCTCAGCCCCAGCCAAGGGCAGACAGATAGGACATGGCTCTCAAGGAGATACTACTAACACCTGAAGTGCCTCAGCTCTTTACAACATGGAGGTTGTGGTCATTTCTCTTTTCCTGCAGGTTTTCTCTTTATTGCACACTAACTTGCTCTGGTTTTACTGTTCAGGCTCCACAAGTACAGCAACAAGAGCAGTTAAATCACAGCTCCAGCCCTTTGGTGTGACCACACCACAGACCTCTGAGCAGTGCTACCCACAGAGCTATCAGCCAGAGACCCATGGCCCAGCAGCTGCCCAGTCACCTGCTGCACACATACCAGATTTAAGGAGAGGTCCAACAGGGAAAGGTGCATTTGAAATAAAGCCAAGATCACGAGCAAATTGAATGAGTTGTTTGCAAATTGACTATGCAAAGCACATTGAATTGCAAGGTGAGTGTGCCAAATCCAGGTAAGCAGCAAAGAACCACGTACACGATGAGAGCTCTTGTAGTTCAGCCAGCTTGGAGAGGAGGAAAAAAAAAAAGAAAATAAATAAAAAGAACTTGTTGACGGGAAAGGGAGACTTAAGTATTCACAGGCACCTGAGAAAGCCCCAAGAAGACAACCAAAGTCACTCAAGTCTCCTGCTGCAAAAGAGGGAAAGCAACAGTCTCATAAGCAATAGATACGAAGAATCTACAGGGGAAATAGAAGAAGAGAGGTAAGCTAGGCACAGGTGAGGGACATGGTGAGGATGCCAAACCTTATCCCATCCAGCCAAGCCAGGAAAAGCCACCATTTATCCCTCTCAGAGGGTGAAGCAGCACATTGGGGGGACATTACCCTGAGGAGCTGCAGCGAAGTGTCCACACCACACAGCACATCCACCACATCCCAGGGAATTTTGCAAGGCTGAGACATCCACACCTACTGAACACTGCTCCAGACCTTCCACGGGGGGTTGACCTTACCTATAAATATCTGGGCAGACTGACAGCGAGACACGCCATTTCCTCCAGCACATAATTGGTTTGAGAACTGAAAACAAACAAACTCAGCCACAGCACACAGGCAGGTCCTAGCTACGTCTAGCAAATGGCCAAGAGCAGCTTCAGCAGCACCTCAAACCTTATTTTGAGCTTTTCAGGATAGACCTTAACAAAAAAAAGGCTCCACTGTTTAATCCCATAAAAATTTAAGATTGCCAAAAATGCTTTAGTTCCACACAAGGATAAACCCAAATCCTTGCAAAGTTCTTCATGAGAGAGATGAGATACCACCTAGAAATTCAAACACTTGCCTGAGATGGAAAATATAAATCTGTGATTTTAGCATGTCACTGCAAAGGGAGGGAAGTGTGCCAAGGCTCCTCCATGGCATGAGATGCCAGCACAGCATTCCCTGGCCCCTACCTGCAGCTCCCATGAGCCAGGACTCACCACAGCCCCCAGAAACTCTTATGAAAACATAAATGCATTTTCCCAAAAGCTTTTCTTTTTGGGCAGACACATTTCCCAAGCACAGGCACTTGGCTGGAAAGCTCTTCCCCACCTCTGGTGAACTCGCTCCTGCCCCTGGCAGACATTCCAGGGAAAGTATCTGTGTTGGCAATCTCTGCTGCAGTAACACAGGCTGCAGATCTGAAGTCCCGTGTACAATACCTCGAAGGAGGGGAGATAAGGGCAGGAAATGCCTCTCGGCATACCGCACGAGGCACTCCCACCCTGCTGCTTTTCCAGCCCATTTCTGCCATTGTTTGCTGAAAGATGAACAAATATTTTCCAAAACACACCTGGAGTAGAAATCAGGAGTTAATTCTGCTGGATTATTAAAGTAAGAAATCTTATTTCAGCATTTCCCAAAAGGAACTGGAAGATTATTGGTGGTTTTAGGACTGCACCTTGCAAAGAGCATCAGGACTTTGATTTAGAAGGAGAGGACGAGTGTGGTTCTGTGTGGTTCTGTGAACAGTGTGGTCAACAGGACCAGGGAAGTGATTCTGCCCCTGGACTCGGCGCTGGTCAGGCCACACCTTGAGTACTGTGCTCAGTTCTGGGCCCCTCAGGTCAGGAGGGACATTGAGGTGCTGGAGCAGGTCCAGAGAAGAGCAACGAGGCTGGTGAAGGGACCGGAGCACAAGTGCCCTGAGGAGAGGCTGAGGGAGCTGGGGGTGTTCAGCCTGGAGAAGAAGAGGCTCAAGGGAGACCTTATCACCCTCTGCCACTCCCTGACAGCAGGTTGGAGTCAGGTGGGGGTTGGTCTCTTCTCCCAGGCAACCAGCAGTAGGCCAAGAGGGCACAGACTCAAGCTCTGCCAGGGGAGGTTTAGGTTGGATATTAGGAAGAGATTTTTTACACAGAGAGTGATCAGACATTGGAATGTGCTGCCCAGGGAGGCGGTGGATTCACCATCCCTGGAGGTTTTCAAGCTGAGACTGGATGTGGCACTTAGTGCCATGGTCTAGTGACCACAGTAGGGTTGGCCTCGATATCTTGGAGGTCTTTTCCAACCCGGCTGATTCCATGATTCAATGATTCTGTTTGCCTGTGGTTCAGCTTTTCTGCATGCACCTTGTCCTCCAGCAGCTCCTCTGCTCTCACAGCAGAAGAAATGGGAGATGCAAGTGGCCTACAGAGGGGAATGGAATGGAGAGGGGAGAACCATGAACATCGAGACATCATCTGATATCAGACAGCAGCATCTCCTCAATCCAACTAGCCAATGAACCTCTAAAGGAGCAGAAAGTTCACCCTGAGAGTTCTTAGTGAAGGTGACACAGCTAAACTTCTCTCAGACTTAGGTACAATTCCCTATAACCCTCCACAGACCCCAGAGCCCCAGACAGACTTTGGCTCCATCACTCTGGCTGTTTTCCAGTGACCTGATTTCTTCCCTGCACCCAAAAAATGGCACATTGACTTCTTGCACAAACCAGTCAGGCTAACTATAGCATGGGTTCAGGCCCCAGCATGTGTTTACCTGTAAGGTGGCACCCAAGTGGCTGTGTGGGTGTCTGTGGTTTGCAAAGCATCACATTTTGGTTTCTGTTTTATTTAAAGCATAAGCAGAGGGGGGGAAAAAAAAAGTGCCATTCCTCATGTTTGACTGAGCTGAGTTTCCATCAGCTCAGCAGATCTGCCTGCTGCCACACTGAGCACATCCTGCCAGACATACAGGGTCCCCAGCCCCACAGGGACAATGGGGACTAGTTCAGAGGCCAAAAGGAAGGCAGGGAGCTCGTGCCATCACCCTCCTCTTGGTGCTGCTGCAAGGAAGGACTTGCTCCAGCCACATCAAAGACTGGACCCTGAGAAGGACATGCAAGTGGTGGTGAACACCACCATGGTGTTTTCTTGTATATTTGCATTTCCTGTACATTTTGTCTCACATTAGTACAAGATTTATCTCACTAAGCCCAAAAGGACTTTCAGGGCACTGGTTACTCACTCACAATACAAGAAGAGACAGCAATTCTGTGAAATGAGTATCTACTGAGTCAGTGGTTGCAACCTGTGCCACCAACCCTGCCCAGAGGGTCCTTCATCTCCTACACACACACACTTCTTCCTGTTTCACATTTAGAAGTCAGCACTGGCATCACACAAAGGAGAAAACTGAGGGTGCTTATTTTCCTGCTCCAGCACACACTCAGAGCTGCTCCCTCGACCTTCCTCCAAGGCATTTAACTTGCAGATGCTTTGCCATAGCATTGCTGAGGTTGGAGCTGGATCAAGTAAAGCAGCCACATTGCTGAGTGATGCTGGAGAGACTCCTTGTCTCCCCACCAGACAGTGAAGCTGGAGCTGAGACCTGCAATTCCTCCATCACATCTCCCCGAGGCAGTAGTTACAGCACAGCATGACACTGACGCAGAACACAAACACTTACACGAGTCCTTCACTTAAGTGTCATCAATTGATTTCAGTTTTATTCCACTTTCAAAAAACAACAAACACAAACCATGGAAGAGCAACCCTTGAATGGGACACCTTGAAATGAAACAGTGCAGCGACTAGAGAACTCTTTAAGCTGTGAATCTTGTAAGCTAAGGGAAAATCCAAGACCCAGGTATGTGAGCAGCCACTTCGGAAGTCAAGGGGGTCATTCACTGGATTGCTTGTGGGGACATACCTGCAGGATTAGGCCCAGCAGACACCAGGTGAGGTGT